AGAAGTCCCCATCTTCCCCATCTCTGGGCAGCCAGCGTGAAGGGGCCAAGGCTGAAGTTGGAGACCAAGTCCTTGTGGCGGGCCAGAAGCAGGGGATTGTGCGCTTCTACGGGAAGACTGACTTTGCTCCAGGTGAGGGTGGGAGCGTGGGCCGGGGTGTGGCTCAGATGTGTAAGGTTCTGGGTTCCATCCTCAGCACTGAATACACCCTGCCGCAGGTTACTGGTATGGCATCGAGCTGGACCAGCCCACCGGCAAGCACGACGGCTCTGTGTTTGGTGTTCGGTACTTTACCTGCGCCCCGCGACATGGGGTCTTTGCGCCAGCCTCTCGCATCCAGAGGTGAGCCTCGCTCTGCCCCTCAGCTCAGGAAACCACCTAGAGCCCATGTCCTCCCTCAGATGGCCTCGCTTGGACTGGCAGGCCAACATGGCTGGTTCTCATACTACAGCTCTTTTCTGTGGGCTCTCTGAGGTTCAGCTCCTAGCCCTTCATGGCTCTGAATTTTCTGTGTCTCCCCAGGATTGGTGGATCCACCGATCCCCCTGGAGACAGTGTGGGAGCCAAAAAAGTGCATCAAGTAACAAGTGAGTTGGGGGCTGGGGTGTGGGGATGGGGGAAGGCTGTAGGCTCTCAGGTATGTTAGTGACGATCGCTAGCATTTAATTTGATACATGTGGCCCAGAAAAATATGAGACAGGGTCCCAAGGAAGGTAGGTAGGGTAGATACAGGGAGGTTAACAAGGCTATGAGGGTTTGGAATATAGTTTAGCTGTGAAACACCTGCCTCGAGTCCCCCAGTGAAGGGCTGGGGTGTGGCTCAGTGGTAGAGCCCCTGCCTAGCATCCCCCAGTGAGGGGCTGGGGTGTGGCTCAGTGGTAGAGTACCTGCCTAGAATCCCCCAGTGAGGGGCTGGGGTGTGGCTCAGTGGTAGAGCCCCTGCCTAGCATCCCCCAGTGAGGGGCTGGGGTGTGGCTCAGTGGTAGAGCCCCTGCCTAGCATCCCCCAGTGAGGGGCTGGGGTGTGGCTCAGTGGTAGAGCCCCTGCCTAGCATCCCCCAGTGAGGGGCTGGGGTGTGGCTCAGTGGTAGAGTACCTGCCTAGAATCCCCCAGTGAGGGGCTGGGGTGTGGCTCAGTGGTAGAGCACCTGCCTAGAATCCCCCAGTGAGGGGCTGGGGTGTGGCTCAGTGGTAGGGCACCTGCCTAGAATCCCCCAGTGAAGAGCTGGGGTGTGGCTCAGTGGTAGAGTACCTGCCTAGAATCCCCCAATGAGGGGCTGGGGTGTGACTCAGTGGTAGAGCACCTGCCTAGAATCCCCAGTGAGGGGCTGGGGTGTGGCTCAGTGGTAGAGCACCTGCCTAGAATCCCCAGTGAGGGGCTGGGGTGTGGCTCAGTAGTAGAGCCCCTGCCTAGAATCCCCCAGTGAGGGGCTGGGGTGTGGCTCAGTGGTAGAGACCCTGCCTAGAATCTCCCATTGAGGGGCTGGGGTGTGGCTCAGTGGCAGAGCAATTGCTTAGAAGCTCCCAGTGAGGGGTTGGGGGTAGGGTATGGCTCAGCATGCATAAGGCCCTGGGTTCCATCCTTAGCATTGAGAAAACAAAACTATCTGTGGGGCTGGAGAGATGGCTCAGTGGTGAAAAGCACTGGCTGCTCTTCTAGAGGACCTGGGTTCAATTCCCAGCACCGACATGGCAGCTCATAACTGTCTGCAACTCCAGTTCCAGGGGACCTGACACAGACAGACATGTAGGCAAAGTGCCAATGCAAAAAAAAAGAAAGAAAGAAAATCCGTAAGACCAACATTCATGGTGTTGAGATAGAAGGATCGTGAATTTAAGACCAACATCAACTACAGTGAGACCATTTCAGAAAGCCCAAGGCAGTCATTGAGGGTGTGGGATTCAATGGGCATATTGGAGGCATGGATAATTATTGGTGGAGGCCAAATATTAATAAGAGGTCCAGATGCATATTGAAAATGAAGGAATCCAGGCAAAGCCTGGAGCCACTGATAGGTGACTGACAGAGTGGGACATGTGTGTTGGTAACACACAGAAGTCGACTGTCACCTCGCTTGAGACCTTGCTTTCCTCTCTAGTGACACAGCCCAAACGCACCTTCACAACGGTCCGGACCCCAAAGGATATTGCATCAGAGAACTCCATCTCCAGGTGCGTGGCAAACCATCTAGCAGAGTGTTAGAGACATCTGCAAGGCCACTGGCCACGGGTGTCCAAGGCCCTATTTGAGTTGGAAATGGAAGTAAAGTTGTGAGTAAACTGGATGTGGTAGTGCATGCCTATAATCCCACACCCAGAGGGCAAGGGGTCAAGAATTCCATGACACCCTGGACTACACAGTGAGACACCGCCTCATAAAACCCACTTAAAAAAATGTCAAACGGTGGTGGCGCATGCCTCTAATCCCAGCACTAGAGAGGCAGAGGCAGGTGCATCTCTGTGAGTTCGAGGCCAGCCTGTTCTACAGAGCAAGTTCCAGGACAGCCAGGGCTACACAGAGAAACCCTGTCTCAAAAAAACAAAAATCAAACAAACAAAAAACCCCAACACCATGCCAGCTTTATAGAGTGCATGCAGCAGTGTGGAGGTTGAGGCAGAAAGATTGCCCTCAGTTTGAGACCAGCCCAGGGTACACAGTGAGACCCTGTCTCACAAAAACAATGAAGGCAGGGCCAGGGGTGAGAGGAGAGAGAGGGGGGGGCATCTTTAGAATGGAGGGCTTGACTGACTTCTGAGACTTCAGCTGAAGGAAGCAGAGAACCCCCCCCCCACACACACACACACACAGCACAAGCCTAAAAAGGTACAGTCAGAGGCAGAGTGCCAGACACAGGAGTGGATGAGGGAGCCAAGTGTCCCCACCCCTGTGCCCCTGTGTGACCTGTGCCCCTGCCCCTCTTTCAGATTACTCTTCTGCTGCTGGTTTCCCTGGATGCTGAGGGCGGAGATGCAGTCCTAGAGGCCCTGGACACCCAACAAAGAGACAGAGTCCCCTCTAGCATCTCCTGACACAAGGAGCCCCCAGTCACCCCAAGATAGAGATTCCCAGTGACACCTCCAGAATAGAAACCCCGTTAGCCAGCCCTCGATTACTGAGGTCCCATTGTTAACAGATCTCCCATGACAACTCCCCAAATACAGACCTCATGTTACCCCAAAAGAGATTCCCTGAGTAGCACCTTCAGGCTAGTCCCTGCCCCCTACCCCTCAGAGCAGATTTCCCCCAATAAACAGATTTCCACATCACCCAAGTGATGCTGGCCCTCTCCACACAGGACATTCTTGAGTTCCTCACCAGTGGATCAGAGCCCCACGAATGAAGACCCCTCCCCATTCTCCTTAAGCATAGGTCATACCTCCAGAATAGCCGGCCACATCCCATTTAACATCAGTCTCCTCAAGATGTTGTGACCCCGAGGTCACCTGAAAGCCCTTATACGCTATTCTCCTTATCAGAGACTCCCTCCATTCACAAGACCCTGTTATCACCCCTGAAGAAGACACCCCCTGAATCAGCCCAGTCACCCCCAATTTACAAACACCAAAACAGTCCTGGAAGCATGGGTTACAGGACACCAAGTCTTCCTGCCCTCTGCACCCTTGAAAAACCCCCAGTGCCTTGTATGAAGCCCACCCCCACATGGCCCACAGTCCCTGTGCTGGCCAAGGCTCCCAGAAAATTCTCTATTTTTTAAAAGTAATAACTTCCCCCTTTGGGGGAATCCCCAAATTTGGAGACCCCCATTCTAGAACTCCGGGGAGTTCAAATTCCAGAGAATATATATATAGATATATCCCCAATTCCCAATGCCTCCAAATCCTACAATCCCTAGAAAACCCCAAATTTCTAATTCCCAGAACTCCCCCTACCCAAGTCACAGAATCTTCAAATCCCCAGGGAATCCCAAATTTAAGACTCCAATCCCAAACTCAGGAAACCCCCAACCACAAGGTCCTTAGGACTGGGAGGAAGGAACCTGTTGCTAGAACATCCCAGGCTTCCAGGACATCTCAAACCTGACTCCCAGGCTCCAGGAGACCCCAAACAGGAAGTCCCATCTTGAAACAAGAATAGAGGACTCCAATGCCCTTAGTCCATGGATCTTCTGATCTCCCAAACTCCAAATTCGACGGGCCCCAGCCTCAAGGGAACCCCCAAGTCCCAAATCTCTGATTTCTAATTTGTGCAGGGCCCCAGTGCTCTGACAGGACCCCAAGTCTTGGAGTCCCTATTTCAATCTACCTTCCGGTCACAGATCCAAGACACTACATCTGAGTCATTGGCCCCAAAGGACCTCACAGTAACTGGGCCAGACCAACAGCCTGAGGGAGAACCTGAAGGCCCCATGGGTCCCGAGCAGACCTGGGGCCCTGATCACCAAGGACAGCTCACGACTGCCCCTTCACTGCATGCCCCCAAACTCAGCATGACTCCTGTCCTCTTCAATAAAGACGTTTCTATGGCCTTCTGGTGTCAGGTCACTGGGGGTTCACTGCACTGACCCTGCGCCCTTGCTGGGGAAGGGTGCGGGAAGAAGGCCTTCCTTGAACGTCGTTTCCCTGCGTCAATGGCATAGAAGCGACGGCTTGACCTGCAGAAAACAAGGGCTTCTGGTTCCTTCCCTGGGGTCTCCCTCACTGCGGTTCTCATCAGGGTCGGCTTTGTGCGTCTGCTCGGCTCTGGAGTCCTAATTGGTAGGAACCAGACCAAGTCCCGTCCCTGAGTGCAGGACGCAGCCTATCCCTGAGCGCGGGTGGCCGCCACCGAGTGAGAGCGTCGATTGGCTGGAGGGCGGGCCCGTAGGTGCTTGAGTGTGCTCAGTGGTCTAAAACCTCTGCGTCAGTATTACGGGGCGGAAGTGGCTGGGGGGCGGGCGAGCGGGAGGGTGTTGAATCTGGAAATTGGAGGAGACACTGGACGGTCAGGTTTTTTTGTTTTGGGTTTTTTTTTGGGGGGTGGGGGTGGGGGGTGTCAGGGTCTGTAGAGGTGAGTGTCCAAAGGGCTGAAAGTGGGGACCTAAGGGAGCTCAGAGTGTGGAATCCTAACACTCAGAGGCTGGGGTCTGAGAGGTTCGGCGGGGGAAGAAGCCTTGGCAGTCTGGCTCAGGTCCGGGGTGCTGAAGTGAAGGGGGCGCTCGGCAAGGGAGTCGGAGAGGGTCCCGAGTGGAGAGATAGAGGAGGCTGGAATTGACAAGTCTGAGAAAGCTCAGAGTAGGGGAGCAGGGATGTTCAGAAAGAGAGATCCCAAGGGGCTGAGGTGACAGGAGGGTCCTTACACTCCAGGGTACCTATGCTCACAGTCGCAGAGTTCCGGGGCCCGGGTGGAGCTCTCGAGAACGGCTTCCTGTGTGGGCGCAGAGAGTGTTCCCTGTGAGGCTCGGGAAGATTCATGTATGGGTGGGCGTCGGTGGACAGAGTCTTGGAGGAATGTGCTGCCTACTGATAGCAGGACTGGGGTTCGGGGGCAGTGCTCATTGGGTGGCTTTTGAGACACTGAGGACTCTAGTTTTGAAGACTAAAGTATATAGGAGGTCTAGCCTCTGATGAGGTGGAAGGAAGGCTGGTCACAGATAGGGGGCTTAGGCACTTAAGGGTGTCCACCCCTCCCCACAGGATGGCACACAAGGAGTTGGTAACCATGGAGGAGCAGGACGCCAGGGTCCCCGCACTGGAGCCATTCAGGGTGGAGCAGGTTGTCAGGACCGGGGCTCTAGAGGAGGAATGTGGGGGCAGAAGGGTGTGAGGTGGGGTGGAGTGAGACTGACTCCCGGGTCTGTTGGTTGGGACTGCGCCATCTCTCCTGAGCCTAGCTCTATGCCCACCTCCAACCCCCAGGGTCACAGGCTCCTTGAATTGAGGTCCTGGACTCTCTGAGGCCACCCCAAGTTCCTCTCCCAAAAGGAAGGTTGCTCAGTCATGATAGGGTCGTGTTGGGCAAATCACCACATCCTAAGGCAGTGGTTCTCAACCTTCCTAATGCTGCGATCCTTTACTACAGTTCTTCATGCTGTGGTGACCCCCAACCAGAAAATCATGTCACTGCTACTTCATAACTGTAGTTTTGCTACTGTCGTGAATCATAATGTAAATCTCTGTGTTTTCCTGTGGTCTTTGGTGATCACTGGGAAAGGATCATTTGACTCCAAGGGGTCGAGACCCCCCAGGTTGAGAACCGCTGTCCTAAGGGCAGTCTTCCGTTATAGGCACCTCCTCTAATCTACTACGTCCCCGACTTCATCTCCAAGGAAGAGGAGGAGTATTTGCTTCGACAGGTGACCCCAGCGCCCTTCTCGTCCATCTTTCCCCGCTTGCCATGTTCCTCTCCAACCCTCAGCCCCGTGTGAGAGCCCTGAAACCTCAGTGAAAACCCTGGCAAGGAGAGGGCCTTAGCACCCTCATGCTTCTGTTCCTCGTCCAGCCATTGCTAGGTCTGTCTGAAAGCTTTCTCAGCCAGGTGTAGTGACACATACTTGTAATCCCAGCACTGGGAGGCTGAGGCAGGAGGATCCCAAATTTCAGGACTTATGTTTTAGAGTTTTAAAAAATTTTCATGTGTATGAGTGTTTGCATGTATGTATGTGCACTGCCTCTGTGGAGTGCCCGAGGAGGCTAGAAGACCTGTCATATCCCCTGAAACTGGAGTTACAGATGGTTGTGAGCTACCATGTGGGTGCTGGGAAGTGAACCCGAGTCTTCTGCAAAAGCAGCCAGTGTTCTTAACCACTGAGCCATCTCTCCAGCCCTGTCTAATGAGCTCTTGTTTGGAACAAAACAAAGCAAAGCAAACAAAACAAACAAAGAACTTTCTTTAGAGGCTTAGGAAAACCCAAATGTATTCTTAGGAAGGAGGATGTGTGTGTGTGTGTGTGTGTGTGTGTGTGTGTGTGTGTGTGTGTGTGTGTTCCTGCTGGGTGTCAGTGTGGGATCTGGGGTTTTGCATGCTAGACACACACTCTACCATTGAGGCACACCTCTACCAGCTCAAGGACACAATTATGAAGCCCGTATTCTGTATACTGAGATAGCCCAGTCTAACCTCTAAAACAAGGGTGTTATTGAGATCACATTCCTGACAGGAATAGCCCAGGCCTTGGGAACAATAAAGTTTCAGAGCTTCTCTCTATGTTGTGATCGCCCAAGTTGGGTATGGTGGCACATGCTGGTAATGCCAACACTGAGAAGGTAGGTGTGTAGGAAAGTCAGGAATTCAAGGTCACGCTCAGTTATGTAGGGATTTCAAAGCCAGTCTGGGATACATGAGACCTTATAAAAAAAAAAAAAAATTCTAGGAACATGCCATACCCAGAGAAGAATCCCATTTCCAGCTGTGGGTGCATTCTGGGTAAAACATCTGTTACCCCTTGGTTGCCAAGGCTGATTCAGCTGATTGGCTGGCTAGGCAAGCGTCTCTGTGCTTTCCCATGTCTTTATGAGTATCCGTCTCGGAGCTGACCTCTTGCTAGAGCCACCTTCCTTGATGGAGGAGGACCATTCTTCAGTCAGGGTTATATGAATGGCTGCTCTCCCCAACTGGAACCTCCAAACAAGCTCCAGACAGCCTGTTTCCACCCCCATGTGAAGGCCCTTGTGTCGGCATACATGGGGAGTCCTGAGAACCTGTTCCCCACCTCCTAGGTTTTCAACGCCCCAAAGCCCAAGTGGACCCAGCTGTCTGGGAGGAAGCTCCAGAACTGGGGTGAGTGTTCCTAGCTAGGGAATGCGGCCCTGGAAGGGCTGAGGTCCAATGGTTTCCAAATATGTGGGGCTATCTCCAGGGGCTCCAGGGGTCCCAGAGCCAGGAGGATTCAGGGTTTGGTGGTGGTCTTGAGGGATTAGGGTTTGACTGAGTGGTTGGGAGTATCTCTAAGAGCCAAGTGCTGTGAAGAAAATGTGGGAAAGATCTGGTGGCAGTCTCCAAAACTGAGTAGGGATGCTTCCAACCACTGGAATATCCCTAATGAGGGTACCAGATGCCAAGGCTCCTCGATTGAGTCCCTTCACGCCTCCTTTGCCCTCTGCAGGTGGGCTCCCCCATCCCCGGGGAATGGTCCCTGAGCGACTTCCTCCATGGCTTCAGCGCTACGTGGACAAAGTGTCTGACCTCAGCCTTTTTGGGGGTCTCCCAGCTAACCATGTCCTTGTGAACCAGTATCTGCCTGGCGAGGGCATCATGGTAACCACATACCCTCATCCCAATTCCCAGATTTCTGAATCATTAGGAGGGGTAACCATAATGTTTGCCTACCCTCACTGAGCAGCTACACACCCCACCTAGGCACTTACCTCCCTATCCCAGCTTTGACTTAACGGAGTGAGCTAGGCTCCTGCCCTGGCCATGCCTGGTAGTCCTTTCCTCCCCAGCCTCATGAAGATGGACCACTGTACTATCCGACCGTCAGCACCATCAGCCTGGGCTCCCACACTGTCCTTGATTTCTATGAACCTCGACAGCCAGAGGATGATGTTCCTATAGAACAGGTGGGTCCTAAGACAATGTCTCGAGCATTTGGGGGCATCCCAACATGTGACATCCCATATACTCCAGGACAGTCTGATTCCACCCGTCTCCAGAGTATTCCTGACACTCAGACATGTTCCCCTGCCCCTGGTTGGGTAGCCCTGCTTTCTCCCAGATAGTCAGCTCATTCCCAGTCAGTCTGCTTGTGTGGTGCTCCAGCTGCCATGATAGCCAGATACCCAGTACTTCTCTGAGGTATTGGATGCCTGAAGATATGGATGACTATGACACTCTCACAGACCATTTCAGCTCAACACAGTATTCCAACACACTTTTTTATTATTACTATTTATTTTTGAGACAAAGTTTATGTAGCCCAGGTTGGCCTCACATTTGCTATCCTCCTGCTCCACCCTCCTAAGTGCTAGGGTTACAGGTTTGGGCCCCCATGTTTGGTCCCAGCATACTGTATAGTATGTACAGGGCACCTTAACATTGGTGTCTTGCTATTCTAGTCGCATGCTCTGTGACCCCCAGACTCTCCTTAATTCACCATTGCATGACTGTGTTGGGGACACCTAACACCCTTATCTCTGACTTGTACCCCCGAAGGCATGCATTCCTGATACCCCAGTGTTCGTAGGATTTCCGCCTGAACACCCAGGTCTGCTGTTTCTCAGCCCCCTCCCTGCACTTCCCTCTTTTCACCCCCTCCCAGTTCCTTAACCTCTACCAGAGCCTGGCTCCAGCAGGACACTCCCAGCTTAGCTCTGCATGGATCCCTGGGACTGCCCACTTCTGTCCCAGTCTCTCAGATGCCAGCTGAAGCTCCCACAGTGGAGTGACCCCCGATGTCTCCATCTGCAGCGTAGGCTCTGTCTCCTCCCAAAGGACTGGACACACGTACACACAGGACTTCCCTTCCCAATAGCTTTGTTCCCAGAACCTGTAGGTTACCACTCCTCGGTCACCAAAGCTTCCACCCCCCTGGGGACTTGCTGACCCTTGTCCCCTGACCAACTGTTGACACCCGCTGACTTTTCAAACTCCGGATATCCACTGACCATCAACTGGCTCCCGCAGCCCCGGCCGCCTCCACAACCCATCACCTCGCTGCTGGTGGAAGCTCGCAGCCTGCTGGTGCTCCGGGGCACAGCTTACACACACCTGCTCCACGGCATCGCAGCCACCCGTGTGGATGAGTTGGATGCCACCTCGCTGCCGCCCAATGCAGCCGCGTGCCACTTGGCGCTGCCCGGAGCCCACCTGGTGCGTGGCACCCGAGTCTCCCTGACCATTCGCCGTGTGCCTCGAGTGCTGCGTGCCAGCCTCCTGCTGAGCAAGTGACCACCGGAGTCCTGCCGGTTCTGTGACCTTGGGACCCTAGGGTAGAGGTGACTGTCCAGGGTTATTTATTTTCCCAGTAACTATGGAAACCATGGAGAAGATGCCATTCCAAATAAACCAAAAATACCTTTACTTGTTTTGGATTTTTTACTAGGTGGGAACAGATGCTGTGGTTTCCTTCTTCCTCCCCCGCCCCCTCTTCACTACTGGGGACGGAACTCAGAGCTTCTTGGATGCTAGGATATATATGTATATCTGTAAAACTAAACTATAACCCCTGGCAACAATTTCGATTTTTAGTTTCAAGACAGGGTCTTCATAGGTTGCCCAGGCTGGCCTTGAGATCCTCCTGTCTGAGATGACAGGCTTTAGCTACCAGGTGCTTGGACAATGGGATGGATCCCTGAAGGTGACAGGAAGACGGGTTTGAGGGGATGGGTGAAGTTTTCTATCTCAAAGCCCCTTGGGATAGCGTGGGGGCTGTTATTGGGAGGTTTAGGTTCTCCTGCTGGGGAGGAAAGAGTTAAAAGTGTGCTGTACCTCCGCAAGGCATCAGGTTTCTTGGGTCCAGGTTCCTCCTGGAAGGGGTGGAGCTAGGCTGGCCCCTGGGCCTCTCAGTAGCCTCAGGCTTGGCTAAGTCCCGCTGAGGAAGCATGGGGAACTGGCTGAGAAAGAGACTCCGACTGGACATCCTCACCTGACTGTCCCCAAATCCACAGCCATGGCCCTGTCCCCATCTCTTGGCCATGGATTCTCCTCAGAGCCCCTCAACCAACCCCTGGGTGCTCCTAGGGAGCCGGACGTTACTGGATGCACCATCGGCCCTGTGCCTGGAGAGGAGACAAGCAGGTGGGATTCCAAGGAGGGGACGGTGGGAAGGACCACGTGTGACCACGATTGAATCGGACATGGAGGAAGCTGGGGATGGAGTTTGGGTAGAAAAGGAGGCACAGTGGCTCATCCAGGGCCCTACAACATTCCTTATCTTCAGGTCAGAGCAGGCCCAGGCCTCCTTGAGCCCTCCTAAGCACATCACAGGTGAAGTGAAGGACACCGAGCCTGCCACCGGGCCCCCAAGACTACCCCTGGCCTCTTCCCATGAGCATCAAGATGGGGGCAAGCGCTGCGAGGTGAGCTGACCACGCCCTTTGTGCCAGCCCACTTCCTCCCTGTTCCCTAGAATCTGCCTCTTGCTCTAGGAATGATAAGGTGGTTCTGAGGAGGTGCTGGTGTCTGTGGAGGAAGGGACACTGTAAGGATATTTGCCAACCAGTATAGAAGTATTTCAGTTATTTTTAATTTCTTGTGTATTTATTGTGTGTGTGTGCACATGCATGTGGGGAGGCCAGAGGGTCAATGCCACTCGGTCACTCTCCACCATATCTTTTGAGACAGGGTCTCTCACTGAACCTGGAGCTCACTCATTTGGCTTGGTTGTCTGGCCAGTGAGCTCCAGGAACCTGCCTGCCTCGACCTCTCCAGCACTGGCATTACCGAGCAGTGCCACATGCTTGGTTCTTTGTGTGCTGGGAATCCAGACTCGGGTCATCACCCTCACTTCACAGAAAACACTTTATCCACTGAGCCAGCTTCCCCACCTCATTTGAGACAGGCTTTCACTATGTAGCTTAGGCTGGCCTTGAACCTTCCATTCTCTTGCCTCAGAGAGCTAGGATTTTAAGTATGTATCTCCATTTCCAAGCTTGGCATATTTCCGTATTTTACCAAGTAGAAAATCATAATTTCATCAACGGCCTTAGTACAGCCCCATTCCTTTTCGGGGGAGGGGGGGTTTCTCTGCTCCATTACCCCTCCCAGTTTAGACGCATATAAGGAGGTTTCTTGAAGGCTTGAGATCCTGAAGACCTTGAATTAGTTGTCTCCAACCTTGGGGTAAAAGGCTGCCGAGTGGGGGCAGCTCCAGTGCTGCCCTGGAGATGGGCATTGCTTCAAAGAAGCATGGACAAGGCGGCAGCCTGCATGGGAACAGGGCATTGCATTGGCTCGCCGCCGGCCCTGATTTGGACCCCTGTAATCTTCAGCATGCTGTCTCTGGCCTGGAAGTCCTAGAAACTGAGCAGGACAGCCTACGTCTTTGTCTGTTGGGGTTGAGCTTCCAACTACAGGACCTGGAACAAGGCCTTGGATCTTGGACACTGGCCCACAGCAGGATTGTCCAGCTGCAGGTGGGCAGTGGGGGGCCAGTGGGAGTAGGCATGGGTGCAAGCTTCCTGGGTGGAAAGTGGGTTTAGTACATATTCTGACTTCTGCCTAGGACATGGAGGAGGAAATAACTCCAGGTTTCGGGGGGTCTGGTATCACAGTCATGTGTGTGAGAGTGTCTAACCATGTGTCTCAGGCCCTACAGGCAGAGCTACGAGGGGCAGCTGAGCGTGTGGATGCATTGCTGGCATTTGGTGAGGGGTTGGCAGAGAGGAGTGAGCCCAGGGTCTGGGCCTCTCTGGAGCGGGTCCTGAGGGCCCTTGGAACCCACCGAGACACCATCTTCCAACGGCTCTGGCAGCTGCAGACCCAGCTGATCAGCTATAGCCTGGTAGGCCCTGCCCCAGTAGTCCCCAGCCCAGGCCCTCATCCCCCAACTCCCATGACATCTGTCCTCTGCTCCAGGTGCTTGAGAAGGCCAACCTCCTGGACCGGGACTTGGAAGTTGAGGGAGACTCAGACGGGCCAGCACCTGGTGGAATCTGGGGGCCCTGGGCACCCAGTACCCTCCCTACTCCTGCAGAGTTGGAATGGGACCCAGCAGGGGATGTTGGGGGTCTTGGGCCCTCAGGGCAAAAGATATCTCGGGTACCAGGAGCTCCCTGTGAGCTGTGTGGCTACAGGGGACCCCAGGGCAGCGGACAGGGCCTTGAGGTGAGATCAGCCCCCCTCAAAGACCCTCTACTTGGCTGGACACCATAGGGCACCTCTCTGTATCTTCTAGCATGGCCTTTCCTTTCAAGGAGGACTTGGCTCTGTCTCCCCTCTAAGCCTCTCTCTCTCTCTGTCTCTTGTCTCTGTCTCTGTCTCTCTGTCTCTCTGTCTCTCTGTCTCTCTCTCTCTCTCTCTCTCTCTCTCTCTCTCGACAGATTCATGCTATGCAGCACAGGCTGGCCTTGAACTCATGATCCTCATGCTAAATCCTGGGATTATAGGCATGCCCGGCATGCCCACCTATCTATGTCCACCACAAATGTCACCATGATTCTCTTGTGCTGTCTGTCCTGGTCTCTATGACCCATTTGCTCTCCTTCCTCTTTGCCCTCTTATTCTGCTCTCCTGTGTGCCACAGGCATAATCCTGACCCTCCTCCAAACCCAGCAGCCTCACTCGCATAAGCACAAGATGCATGCCCAGCTCACCTCTCCCCTCTCAGCCCAGTTTCCTTATGTGTCACCTCTTCAGAGAGCTCTTGTGACCCAACTTAGCATTTCCAACCATTATTTCCTGATATCCTTACCACAGCTTGATACGATACATTTACTTTTAATGTTTTACCTCTCTGGGTAGACTGTTAGGCTCCACAGGGACCAGGATTTTGCCCAATTCCATCCTCACCATGCCTCCTGGAAGTGCACCTGATGTGTAATAGACACTCATTAAATATTTGCTGAGTGAATGAATAAGTAAAGTTTCTCTCCTCTTGGTTTCTTTGGCTCTGCCCTCTGTCTTTCTCATGAGATCTGGGTGTACCCGCATAATTTCGTCTCTGTGGCATCTCCTTCCAGACCCTTCCATAACTATACTACCAGTCTTCCAAGAACCACGAACCTTTCTCTTCCCACAGGACCTGCTCACGTTGGGGCTCAGCCACCGGAAACACTTAGCAGCTCACCATCGAAGGCGTCTCCGGAAGCCTCAGGTGAGCTAGGAGCACAAGGGGGTGTTGATGGCAAGTAAAAGAGACCCAACCCATATTGACTGCCACACACATGCCAAGAATTCAGGACCTAAAAATGTACCAGGGCTCAATCCCTGTCTTTTGGCCTCTTCTCCAGCCCCAGCTGCTACAGTCCCTTTTCCCTGGTTTTCTAACCTACCCCTGTGACCCCTGACCTACTAGCAGTAGCCAAAGTCCAGGGCCTGACTTCACCTGCCAAGCTTGGGTCATAGGCTGCACCCTGAACTGCTCTGATTGGCCAGGTCTGAGTCACATGCCCCATCATGGAAGAGGGGAAAACAGAAATCAGTTGAACGCTACCCTGAAGGTCTGAGTGTGGAGGCATGCACACACCCACATACCATCCCACCAATATTATCAGGAAAAGGGCAATGGATGCACAAAGGACAAATACAGACACCCACCACACTATTAAGTTCATGTGTGGTTCAGGGGTGCCAGGAAAGGAGGAGAAATAAGCTAGCCCTGGAGGTCCAGAGTAGAAAGAGAATGTCCCCACTTAAGTGTCGCTGCCTTTCATTCTACTGCTGGCTGCTGTCTACCCTCAGGACAAGAAGAGACAAGCATCTCCCAGTCCACCAGATGTGATGCTGGAGGTGGATCATGGGTGAGAATGGGGCTGGGGTGCGGGTAAGAGGGATCATGGTGGCATTCCACCCTTGTTTTTAATGCTCTGTCTCTTCTCAGGATCCCTGCTTCTGCACCCAAGCGGCCCCTGACCCTCTTCTTTCTGCTTCTCTTCTTCCTTCTGCTGGGTGCCACGTTGTTGCTGCCCTTGTCAGGGGTCCCCTGCTGTTCTCATGCTCGACTGGCCAGGACGCCCTACCTGGTGCTCAGCTACGTCAATGGTCTCCCTCCAATCTGAGTCCACAGCCCAGACATGTGTATTAAATGGTTGCTTTGCAAAGATGTCTAAGAATATTGAGTGCTTTAGAACTTGGAAATGGAGACAGCCTGGATATGTTTTCGACAGCCCCTTCTATACCTGTGTGTCTGAGGGCAGAACACAGAACTGAATGAGCCTCCCTCAGCTGGGGTTCCCCAGTTGTAATGCAAAAGACCAAGTTGTTGATTTTGAGAGCCAACGAAGGGAAGAGTGGTAGGAAAGTGAGGGTGGGTCCAGGGAAGGGAGAAAGAGCGGGCGGCTGCTCTTGGTACCCAGAGTGCCAAGTGGCTGGGGACCCTGGGAAACCGTGTGCAGCACACTCGAACTTGTTCCAGGCTTCCACGCCTCCCCATGAGGTCTCTCTTTGGGGAGGCGGACTCCCTAATACTTCCCGCCTATCTGTCTGTCCTTCCCGTGAACACCAGTCTCTGGGGGTTGGGGAGAAAGAAATCGAAGATGGCACCTGCCACAGGAAGTCAGAAGCAGGTGTGAGGCCGGGGCAGGTGCTGTGGGTGAGCTGCCAACACCCAAGCTGTCTCACATCCATTCTGGAGATGGTCCCATATTCTACACAGAGGGGTGCAGGCTGTTTTCACTAGCTCAGAACTGTGAGAGACCCTCTTTTCTGGGAGATATTTTTCCCTGGTAGGGTCTCACTGCATAGTCCAGGGCAGTTTTGAACCCCCCAGTCCTCCTGCCTCAACCTCCAGAGGACTGGGATTACAGGTGTGTGCCATCAGGCCTAGCTAATAGTTCTGTTCTGTGTTGCTGAACCCCAGGGCCCGGCACATGCCAGGCAAGTGCTCCACCACTGAGCCACATCTCTAGTCCAAACTCCTGGACTAGTCAACACCAGGCTGCAGTCTAGTCTCCTCACACCTAAGGCACAGGGGGAGGGGTGGGAACAGACTGAAGCACAAGAATGAGGCAGAGTCCTGTGCTGACCCCAGATGCACACTGAACACAGCTCTTCCCTGTGGGGGCCCCAGATGCACACTGAACACAGCTCTTCCCTGTGCTGACCCCAGATGCACACTGAACACAGCTCTTCCCTGTGGGGGCCCCAGATGCACACTGAACACAGCTCTTCCCTGTGCTGACCCCAGAGGCACACTGAACACAGCTCTTCCCTGTGGGGGCCCCAGATGTTCACTGAACACAGCTCTTCCCTGTGGGGGCCCCAGGTGCACACTGAACACAGCTCTTCCCTGTGGGGGCCCCAGATGCACACTGAACACATCTCCTCCTCCCTGTGCTGACCCCAGATGCACACTGAACACAGCTCTTCCCTGTGCTGACCCCAGATGCACACTGAACACAGCTCTTCCCTGTGCTGACCCCAGATGCACACTGAACACATCTCCTCCTCCCTGTGCTGACCCCAGATGCACACTGAACACAGCTCTTCCCTGTGCTGACCCCAGATGCACACTGAACACAGCTCTTCCCTGTGCTGACCCCAGATGCACACTGAACACAGCTCTTCCCTGTGCTGACCCCAGATGCACACTGAACACAGCTCTTCCCTGTGGGGGCCCCAGATGCACACTGAACACAGCTCTTCCCTGTGGGGGCCCCAGATGCACACTGAACACAGCTCTTCCCTGTGGGGGCCCCAGATGCACACTGAACACATCTCCTCCTCCCTGTGCTGACCCCAGATGCACACTGAACACAGCTCTTCCCTGTGCTGACCCCAGATGCACACTGAACACAGCTCTTCCCTGTGCTGACCCCAGATGCACACTGAACACATCTCCTCCTCCCTGTGCTGACCCCAGATGCACACTGAACACAGCTCTTCCCTGTGCTGACCCCAGATGCACACTGAACACAGCTCTTCCCTGTGCTGACCCCAGATGCACACTGAACACAGCTCTTCCCTGTGCTGACCCCAGATGCACACTGAACACAGCTCTTCCCTGTGGGGGCCCCAGATGCACACTGAACACAGCTCTTCCCTGTGGGGGCCCCAGATGCACACTGAACACAGCTCTTCCCTGTGGGGGCCCCAGATGCACACTGAACACAGCTCTTCCCTGTGCTGACCCCAGATGCACACTGAACACAGCTCTTCCCTGTGCTGACCCCAGATGCACACTGAACACAGCTCTTCCCTGTGCTGGCCCCAGATGCACACTGAACACAGCTCTTCCCTGTGCTGACCCCAGATGCACACAGAACACACACCTCCTCGAATCCCCACAACCCAACAAGGCCCACTGTAGCCAGGTGCAAACCGAAGTCAGGGCCGAGGCCACACAGGAGTGAGTGACTAAAGCCAAGTCTGCCGTGACTCTAATGGAAATGGGAGTTTCGTTGTGTGGGTAACTGAGAAATTCAGAACTTCTGGCACAACCAGATCCCACATGATGTCTCTATCTCTGCGCCAATCCCGGCCCCCCTTTTCATTCATAACCTAGTGGCCAGATTGCCCCATCAATTTAGCAGCCAGTAGGATCCCTCTCCCTTTAAACTTCTACACATAAGTCCCAAGCAGGGCTCCTCTGGCTTAGACTACATGCTCTACCTTCACCAGGGGCCACAGTCAGTTCTATGGGGATCATGGAGACTAAACAGAAGTGTGTCTTCAAAGGAAACTGAAATGGTTCCTGGAAATGCACAAAAGGGAACTCAGGGTCTGGGAAGCGGTGGCTTCCAGGAGACTCCACACTAAGCGTTGAGTGTTCAAACCAGTAGCTAAGGGATGTACCAGAATCTGCAATTATGGTCTGTTTTTCTAAATACGTTTATTTATCATTTATGTGCACAAGCAGGTGGACACCGAAGGACAAATTGCCATAATTAGTCCTCGTCTTCTAACGTGTGGTCCCTAGGATGTGAGCTCAACTTGTCAGCCTTGGCACCAAACTGCTTTATCCACTGAACCATTGGGCCCATTTTTTTCTTTTTTCTTTTTTTGAGACAAGGTGTCTCTATATAGCTCATGGCACCTAGAGCAGGTTAAGCTCAGTGGTCAGAGCACTTGCTCAGCAAACACAAGGCCCTAAGTTCATGCCCAGAACCACAAACAAAACAAACAACAAACCAGCATATGTTGTGGTAGAACATGCCTGTGGTCCTAGCATTCTGGACGTAGTGGCATGACAGGCTGGAAGCCATCATCCCTTACGTGGTCAGATTGAGCTACGTTGAGTCTGTCTCAAAAACTAAACCAACCAAGATCATCTTGATGATCAAAACTGAGGCTGAGAGATGAACAGGTAGCTAACATCTCATGGTGAGGGGTAATAAAATTGAGGTAACAGCCACATGTAAGTAGTGTCATAGCCTCTTTTTCTGTCACACAAGCCTCAGCTGGGACCCCAGTTCCTCCCTTTTGTTCTCTCCCACCTGCCTCTCCACCCTTGGCATGGAAGTACATGTTTCTAATCCTAAGGTTTACAGGCTGAGGCAGAAGGAACTCAATGCTGAGACCAGCCTAGGCTACATCATAGCAAGACCATCTCAAAAGAAACAAAAAGCAAAAACCCCTAAGGACTGAAAATCTTAAGACAATCGACAAGGAAGTAAGTACACCTCACATTTATTCCCTTTATACAAGAATCCTGAGGAAGACTAGCAGGAGTAGGAACTGCTTCTTAGAAACACCCAGAAGGGATTCTCCAGGAGTCTTTGGCTGATCAGCTGGGACGAGCTACTGTAAACCCTCCCTTACAATCCTGGTTTGTCACAATGAGTGGGACACGGTTTTCCAAACCGGGCTGCGAATTTCTCACGGTTCATCGGGGTATTTTATTAAACTTGCTAGGGCAAAAGTCTGCTTTTCTCCGCGTTAAAAACAGCAAAGGGCAGGCCCTCAAGAGCGCGGGGTGGGTGTGTTCTCAGAAGTCAAGAGAGGTGTCTCGGCTCCTATTCGTCCGTGGGGAGGAGGACGTGCGTTTGTGCTCTTTGACTTTGTGTTAGCGCATCACAACATGCATGGTGCAGCCTGCCAGTGCCACAGCATGCCTGGAACCTTCCTGGCGAGGGAGTGTCTGATCTCTCACCCTGCATCAAGAAAGTTCGGCTGTCTCTCAAGACATCTCACCTTCCATCAGTTGAGTTCCCGATCTTGCCCCAAACTGTCCGGAGGCACCCTTCTCTGGGTCTGTCACCGTCCACCAGATCTCGTCTCCCGTGCCCCTGTGCCTTCACAAGGACTCTTTGGGCTATCGCTATCGTTCAGCGTGGTCCCTGGGGTTGTCGTGTCAGAGGGTTCCTCAGTCGGTCCCCGAGGGCGCACGAAGGTACCCATGGCCGTGGCGTGGCCGGAACGCAGCAGCTGTAGCTGGCGCCGTCCCCGGCGGTACAGATACTCGATACGCAGCACGTCGGAGCGCGGAAGGCTGGCGTGCTGCCGGAACTCGGCTCGCACCCGCGCCTCGGCGCCGGGTTTCCCCCGCCCGGCGCGCAGCAGCTCTCGGTACAGGCTCAGAACTTGCCTCTGCAGCCTGCTGGGCCGGCTCATGACCGCTGGGTCGCAGGCAGTCGCAGCAGACCCGCCGGAAGCACCGCCCCAACACACAGTCCCAGGAAGCTAAAGGGCAAGGCAACGGCCACGTCCGCGAGAGGTCCCGCCTCCCGTGTTCCGGTGCTGCCGCATCCGATTGGTTGGTGCCGCCGTACGTCACGGCGGCTTTAGTTGGGGGTGGGGACGGAGTTGCTGGTCCTCTGGTCGACTACTAAAGGGAATTGGTGTCCTTGAGCCGACTACGGTTCTGGAGGACGTGTGAACTTGAATTCAGGGAAGGGAAAGGAACTAAGCGATTAGACTCTGGCTGAGAGTTGGAGGAAACAGTCCTGATTCCAGGGAGGACGGAAAGCGAGGTTCGAATCTGTGGGTCACCAAAGGACGCAAGGACATTGGGAAAGGACAAACCGTTTTTTTAAAGATTTATAATTTTAGGGGTTGGAAAGTGTATAAGCTGACAACGTGATCGCTCCATGGTATGGTTAAGGGGAAGATTTTTATTGTAGATATGAAAGAGGACAGCCAGAGACATCTGGAAGAGTCCAGAGC